AAACAGGGACGTGGTGACTTGGGTTTTGCTCCTGTCCCGTACAATCGCAAGACAGGTAAAACTGAAGACCTGTGCAAAGCTCCGTTGGTTTTATTTTTGCAAAAGTATTTTAAAGTCAACTAAAGACACTGTTACATCTCATCCCTGAATATTGTCGTATACATTTTAAGAAAAAATAGAACCATTGTCTTACATAATCACAGAACCTATTATCGCACATAAAATGCACAGTTTTCTAATATTATCTGATAAACAGTGCCTCAATTCAGAGGGAAAACACTGAGACTGGGGTGGGTGAGTCGCTTGCTTGGTGTCGCTCAGCTACTGAGCAGCAGAGCCAGGATCTGAGCCGATCTGGTCCTGAGGTGGACCCCCCGCCCCCACCCCCGCTCCCCACTTTTGTGCCCTGTCCTCATCCCTCATACATTGACCCAGCTCCCACAGGCACGTGGCAGGGCGGCCGGGCAGGTTACTACAATACGTTTTTAACCGATCGGGAAACGGAGGCCTGGTAGGGTGTCCTGCCCACAGTGGCCCCGGCAGCACTGGCTGTGAAGGGGCTCACAGAACTGCAGAGCAGACGGAGGGCAGTTACCGGGCAGCGCTGGTGCAGAAGCCGGGCCTCCTGCCCTGGGACCCCCAGGGGGCTCTAGCCTGCCCCTTCGCTGCAGCCTCCCCTGCCCTTCCTTCCTCTCCTGATCTTCGGCCTCTCTTTCCTCACCTCTCATTCTAGGGCCTCATTCATCCCCTCATTTCCTCCAAGGGACAGTTCACAAAGTGACTGAGCAGTGACCCCTGCCAGGCCCTCTGGCCTCTGGCCCTCCTCCCTCCTTCTCTTAGCCACAAACGCAGCAGGAGCTGTGTTGCCTGGGCTGCTGAGCCTCTGGCCCATTTCCTCTCCAGCCCTGGGCTCATCTCTGGCCGGAGTTCCCGAGGGCCTGCGGTTGGCCTCCAAAAAGGCACACGTGTACACACGTGGAAAAGCCATCTATTTCCAGGAGCATCTGCTTCCTCCGCTTCCTTCCTATCCTTTCGCGCTCTGCTCCTCCCCAAGCCCCGTGTTTCAGAGTCAGGGCTCCACATGGTCACAGCAGGCTAGGTCGCAGCTGCGTTAAAACCCCACAGTGGGAATGGAGGGCCCTGCGGGTTGGCTCAGAGCAGCGGGGATGTGAGTGCAAGGCGGGTGGGGGCCAGGGACCAGTCATCTGGCCCCGAGTCCGATGCAGTTGGGCACGCTGCTGCCTGAGGCCAAGCTGAAGGTTCTCAGAAACCTGGGCGCTTGTTGCGGCCACACCAACACCTGGTCAAACACCTGACCGGGCCCGCCATGGGGCTGCCGTAGGGCTGCCTTTCCCATCAGAACAGCGAGGTCTGCCCAGCCTCCTCAGGGGCCAAGTGAGGGCCCCGGAGAGCCACAGAGAAGACACAGCCAGTGGCCAGGAAATACATGTTAACTAGCCGGATAAACAAAACCCTAACACAGCACTTGAGTGAGAAAGATTTGAGCCCCCTTGTCAGAGGGAAGGGGCCTGGCGGTTCCATAGGCTCCTGGCCAGCCCAGAGTGGATGCAGCCTCAGGTGCATGGGGACAAGCTGGAGAGAGCCCGGAGGTGGGGGCAACGTGGGGCAGGGGGAGTCAAGTCGTCGGGGGAAAGTGCAGAGCGGCGGAGCCTATCTGTGAGCTGTGGAGAGCTGCACTGTCTCACGGAGGGTTGGAAACACCAGCGTACCCAGCGCGTGGCTGGCAGCACACAGTCCATCACGATTATTTCGGTGGAGAAAAGAAGGGCTGGATATGCTGTTTGAAATATGGGGTGGCTTTTTTATTAAAGATTTTACTTATTGATTTTAGAGAGAGGGGAAGGAAGGGGGAGAGAGAGGGAGAGCAACACTGAGGTGGGAGAGACACTCTGAGCGGTCAGTCGGGGACAGAACCCGCAGCCCAGGCACGTGCCCTGACTGGGAACTGATCGGACCGGCGGCCTTGCGCTTTGCAGGATGATACCCAGCCAGCTGAGCCACAGCGGTCAGGGCTGGGATGACTTCCACTTGGAGGCGAGAGAGGACTAATTTTGTAAAGCTTCAGTAGAACTCAACTGCAAGGGTAGGAGTGATAGAGAAGCAGACTCCAGTTCAACTGCAAATGGAAAGGGATCATGTAGCATGTGCCAGGTGTCTGCAAGGCGCTTGACAGGTGTGGTCACCCCGCCTCTCCAACAGCCTGACGCGGTAGCTGCTGGCCCAGGTTCACCGATGTTGGTTGAGGGAAAGGCTGAAGGGCCCTCTCTCCAAAGGCTGCAGAGGGGCCTTCTGAGCCACCAGGGGGAATTCTGCGGACCCACTGAGATTCCTCAGCCTGGTTCTCCAAAATTTCACCTCACACCGCTCAAGACGCTGGTTCCCCAAGCGCATCCTTATGACCTCCTCTTTTCTGAGTTCAGCTGAGAGACCATTCACCTCTGTGCTGGTTAACCTATGTGTCAATTTAATTTAATTCACCAGGCCATGGTGCCGAATATTGGGCCAAACACGGTTCTGGGTGTGTCTTTGAAGGTGTTTCTGGGTGAGATTAACATTCGACTCTGTGGACTGAGTAACGCAGAGGGCCCCCACCCCCTGGGGGTGGGCCTCATCCAATCAGTGGGAGGCCGGATAGGACCCAAAGGTCGCCCTTCCCCCCAACGAGAGGGAACTCCTCCCGCCTGGCTGCTTTGAGTGAGGATGGAGGTGTTTCCCTGCCACCACTGGTCGCTGGTCGAGAGCTGAAATACCAGCTCTCCTTGAGTCTCAGGCTCTCCAGCTTTCACCCAGGAACTTCCCCCCACCGCCCTCTTGGGGCGCCAGCGAGCCGACCACAGCCCGTGGAAGTGCTGCCCCCACAGTTGGGTGAGCATTCCAAATCCTCACCAAAGGGTGTGTTTACTGATTTTAGAGAAGGAGGAAGGAATTGAGAAAGAGAGAGAAACATCGATCAGTTGTTTCCTGTGCGTGTCCTGACCAGGGATTGAACTCGCAACCTTTTGGTGTGTGAGACGACGCTCCAACCAACCAAGCCACCCAGCCAGGGTGACGGTTTCTTATAATATGCTTCTATTTATGCATGCACACATCCTATCAATTTTGTCTATGCGGAGAATCCTTGGTAATACACCTCCTTCCCCGACTCTTCCTCCCGGGGTCTCCCTTGCTGAGGAGACGGACGGACAGTGGGCCGGGAAGCACCTCCCATCTGCCGTCGCCCTGGGTCCGGGGGAAGAAGGGGCCCAACTGTGCAAGCAGAGCAGATGGGCCGCAGGGCCAGCGCCCACGCTCCCTGCAAGCCAGAGACCCCTGTGAGGGTTTCCTAAGGGACCTGCCTGGATTTTCACGTTTGCCTAGAGCAGGGCTGCTGCACACGCTGCGGTGGATGGCGGGGTCAGTTCCTCGTTCTTTGTTCCCAGAGGAGCACCCAATGGAGTCCTGAAGATATTCCCAGTTTAGGGTGGGGGCAGAATGCGTGGGCCCTCTGGCTGGGACAAGAGGGTCAGTCAAACATGTGTCAGCCCCCCTTCGTGAGAGCCTGACTCCCAGGGCCCCTCTGCCATTCTGCCTGAAGCCGAGCGGGGGCTCTGGACCCTCGGGAGGGCATGGAGGGTCCTCGGCCCCAGGTCGAGGGCAGTGAGGCAGGGCTCTGTCCACAGTCTTGGGGCAAGTGCGAGGCCGAGAGGCCACCGTGAGCACCTCTGGGGGCGGGGGTTGGGGGGGCCTGCCTGGCGTTCAGCTCTGAAATCTCCTGTCCCTGCTCAGCCCTGATGAACTTGACACCAGACATCAGATCCCCAGTGTTGCTGGGGTCGAGGTTTCTCCCCCTCTCAACCTGTCACCAGGGGATGGAAAACTCTGACCTCATCTCAGGCTGTCATGCGAAGACAGCCACAGGGCCGACGGACATGGAGAGAGGGAGGGAGGGGGAGAGAGACTGAGAGAGACTGAGAGAGAGAGAGACAGAGAGGGGCTTAGAGAGAGAGACTGAGAGAAAAGGACTGAGGGAGAAAGAGAGGGAGGCTGAGAGAGAGGGAGAGAGAGGCAGAGACTGAGGGAGACTAAGAGAGAGAGAGACAGAGAGAGAGGCTGGGGGCGGGGAGAGCGGGTGCACTGGGACTCAGACCACCCTGGTCAGGAGGGTTCCAGCTCCAGGGCCCAGAACCTTGCAGGCTGGATCCAGATAGGAGCGGGCTTGATGGTGCACCAGCTATGTGCGGGGCTGTTCACATCTGTGTGTGTGTGCATCATATCACACACATACAAAAGTATATAAAAAAGGAAGGTACAGCCTGACGAACTGAACTGTAATTTCTACTCACGTCAGGAAACAGGGCGCTATCAGCGCCCAAGAGCGCCCACACACTAATGCAAGTGTTTCCATTTGACGTTCATGAAAAACGTATTCACGAGAAAGAAGAGGCTCAGAAATGTCCTCAAGTGTCACAGCTCCTCATTCAAACCCAGATTGGAGCTTTCTGGGATTGGACTGATTCCAGAGCCCCTTCCACAGGGCCAGCTGCTTGTCTGAACAAACCGGGAGCATGCAGCGGGCATGGGGCCCTTCACAGGCCTGTCCGAGTCTCGGGACCCTGTGGCCCGAGGGCTGCATGCTGGGGCCCAGCACGGGGCAGGCGGTTGGACTCCATGCGATGGGGGCCTTTTTCAACTCTATCTCAGTGGTGCATCATGAAATGAAAATGCATGGGCTTGGAGCCCCTCCCCCAGGTGTGCCCTAGCCAGGTCCTGCCTTCCTCAACTCTGCATTATGGATGGAGTGAATCATCTGGTAAATAATTCACCCGCAATCAGGGCAGTGAGGGTAACAGGAGAGCAGGGGTGAAGGTGCTGGAAGGGCTGAGGTGGGCAACCTGAGCCGGAATCCGTCCTTCTAAGGCTGGGCTTTGCTCTGGGGAGACGGAGCCCGAGAGCCAGGCAGGCTCCATCTTGGACCAGCAGCCACCCAGGGGGATGGGGCCATGGTGAGCCCACGGGCCCTGTGTAGACCACCTGGCCTGCTGCTGCTGCTGCCCTGCTGCTTTCTGTATTTGGGGGCCTCAGGTGAGTGATACTCAACCCCTACCCACCCCGTGTAGCCCTTTCCCACTCACATTCCATGATCTCTTCCCCGTCTTCCTTGAGATCCTTTGGCACGCGCATAGCCATTCAGTGAAGGCCATGAACTTCAGTGATCTGCTAGATGTTAGCCAGCGCGCACTGAGTGACCGCGCCTTGTCAGGGTGGGGAGGCAGGGCCCGCACACAGCCCTCTGTGTTACCTTGAACCTGGGGGTTATCCCGAGCATGGACGTGACACGGTCAGATCTGGTTTCCTAAAGTTCCCTCCACGCCAGGTGGTCTTCGTGCATCCGCAGCTGCCGGCATTGGAGGGAGTCCATTTCTGGGTTCTTGTCCTCGATTCATCGAACATCCAAATTTTGCCTTTGATCCCTCCTGCTGACCGTCCTCTCTGTCTTATCGAACCCTGCCCAGTCGGCTCCAACTGCAGAGCAGGAACGGAGGCTCTGGGAAAGGGGGAGCAGGAGAACCCAGGACAGCTCAGATGCCTTGCGTTGTCTCTGTCCCAGGGCAGCCTGATGAGGAGGTGGTGTCCACCCAGGGAGTGAGGGGCGGCTCTGTGGAGCTGGCCTGTGGCTCCCCGCCTGCCCCCCTGGCGGTCTTCTGGAGCTTCACCCCCCTGGGGCTGCTGATCCCCCGGCCTGTGGCTGTCACCAATGGAGCAGAGGTCAAGGTGGAGGCCGGGGCCTCGGCTCTGGGGACCGTGAGCCTGCGGAACAGCAGCCTGGTGCTGGGGGAGCTGCGGGAGGGTGCCCGCGGCCACTTTCTGTGCCAGGTCCTGCAGGCAGCCGGCGGCCAGCTACATACCACCTACTCCCACTTCAGTCTGGCCGTGCTCGGTGAGCATCCCGGCTCGGGGCCCTGGCTCGAGCTGCCATGCCTGCTGCTTTGCCTTCCTTTGTGTGTGCTTCCAGCTGTATTCTGCAGGGCTTGGGGTCTACACGGCCTGCCCCCAGGGGAGGGGGAGGCCTGGGGTGCTCAGGAGCCCAGTGGGCAAGCCAGCCCCCAGCAGGCAGGGGCCAGGCCAGCGGACATAGCGGGCCACTGCCCGAGCCTGCAATAACCAACACAGACTCTTCCTTCTCCGGCCAGTGCCCGTATCGAAGCCTCAGGTGCGACTGAGTGAGCCGTCCCCCGTGGAGGGGGCATCCGTGGTGGCCACATGCGCAGTGTGGGAGGGCACGGAGCCCGTGATCTTTGCCTGGAAGCATCAGGCACCCCAAGGCCCCGGGGAGGCCCTGCTGAGGGTCACGGAGCAGCTGCTCCGGCTGGACCCCGTCAATCGGACACACCTGGGCTGGTACGTGTGCAGTGCCCGCAACGCCGTCAACCACCTGAGCAGTGACGGGACCTTCCTGGATGTCATCTGTGAGTCGGACTGGGGGGTGAGGGACTGGCGGCGACCAGGCCTGGCATCTGCCTGCCACCTGCACTCGGCCCCCTGGCACACCTCAGGCCCCCAGGAGGGCCCCAGCCTGCACCCACCGGGCCAGACCCGGCTCCAGTACAAGGGGTTTTAACCTGGTCAGAGTTGAGGGCCCCTCTTCCCAGGAAAATGTGCATAGATTCACGTCACAATTAACCCACAGGTCTTCGGGTTGATCCTGAAGGACTCTCAGGGGTCACCTGCACCTCGGGAAACAGGGAGCAGGGAGGCAGGCCTGTGGGAAGAGAGGGCAGCAAGTCGGGCCCTAGAGGGACTTCTGAGAGCAAAAAAAGGTTATTTTCAGAGCATGCGAAGGACCCCCAGATAGCAGTGAGGAGGAAGCACAAGCCACACAGAAGTGGACAACAGGCCGGAACAGTTAGTTCAGGAGAAAGAGAACAGAGAATGCCGGTGAACTCCGGACGGGATCAGAAGCCGTGTGACAGGGGAAGACCGGGGTGGTCCAGAGCAGCCCTGGGTGGGATGGCAGCCTCTCCAGGGGCTTCAAGCGCCGGAGACGGGGCCAAGCCCAGCTGAGACGTGCTCAGAGTGTGGCATTCACACTGGACTTTGAGGAAGAAGTCTAAAGAAAGAATACAAAACAGCTCACCAGTAATTCTTTATATTGCTTGTACACTGAAATGATAATATATTGAATATATTTGGTTAAGTAAAATTTTTTAAAATTATTAAGGCCCATCGACGGGTTTTGCTTGGCTGAGCAGGGTGTGTTTTCTTCTGGAGATCTGGCTGGTGAGCCCGCGGCCAGCCAGATCTCCTGCAGCTGTGGGGCGGGGGGCCAGAGGAGTCAGGGAGCAGGGGCTGGCAGTGTCCTGTCGGCCTCGGAGGTGGCTGGTGGGCACTGTAAGTCCAGGGCGGTGGAGGAGACGGATGAGCAGTTCTCGGAAAGAGGGAGGGGCAGATCGGAGGCAGGCAAGACAATTTGGTGCTCTCCAGGTGTCAGGGAGGAAGAGGACATGGGAGTGGGGAGGCAGGGACCCCGAGAGAGTGGACAGGGCTGGCTGCTGGGATTGCACCGGGGGCATCTTCCCACCCTGTTCTCTCCCCTCTGCAGTCGAGAGGGACCAACCAAACCAAGAAAGCCCTCGATGCCAGGCAATGGGAGAGGGCTGGGCGCCCTCCTCCCCCTTCTCCAGGCTGACTCTGCCTGTGCCCCCGCCTCAGCCCAACCCACCAGGCCCCTGGGGAAGCCTTGCGGTGCCCTCTGGACTCCCACAGGCCGCAGGCTCGCCTCACAGGCCCTGATCTCCTGTATTCTGGGCTCCTTAGGGGCCTTACATAGTGGCTGGCACGGCTGGTGCCTAATTCATGGCTGCTGAGTGGGGAGTAAACTCAGCGATCATTACATGAGCGAGTGAAGGAAGGAGGACCAGCCGGGGAGGTGTGACAGGCCTTCCTTGCCCTCCAGATGGTCCGGACCGCCCTCTGATCACTGTGGAGCCGCCGAGCTTCACCGACGAGGGCTTCTGGGCGGGCGAGAGGGAGGAAGTGACTCTGAGCTGCCTGGCCGCGTCCAATCCGCCCAGTCGCTACGTGTGGCTGCGTGAGCACGCCCAGGTCCACACTGGGCCCACCTACACCATCGTCAGTGCCAGCCGCGCCCACACCGGCCTGTACACCTGCCTGGCCCACAACAGCCGCTTGGACACCCGTGCGCAGGCTGCCGTCCGGCTCACCATCTACTGTGAGTGTGTGGGGAGGGGCCTGCCGAGGGAGCATCTGCATGTCGGAACTGTGGATGCCCGTGGAAACGGGTGGGAGTTGGGGGGAGACAGGGCTGGGGGAACAAATGGAGATGCAGACCAGGGGGAGAGGCTGAAAAAACCTAGAGAAGGGGCAGGCAGAGGGAGAGCCCCCCATCCTGTACAGATAGCGCCCCTTCGAAGTGATGACTCCCGTGGTCCTGGGGACCGAGCTGAGGCACAGAGACGGGTAGCGTGAGGACAGTGAGGCAAAGTGCCCGGGACGAGAATGGGGCACAGGGACACTTCCCTACTGGGGGCTGCCGTGGGAGCCTCTGGGGTTGCCCAGTGATTCCGCCCTCCTGCCCAACCCGCAAAACACTGCCCCTGACCTGGGAACTCCGCCTTCTGCTCACCAGCCCCTCAGAGGCATCAGGCTCTCCCTGCTCCCCCACCTCTCCCGACGCCTCCACACGGGCCCCTCTGGGCCACTGGCAGTGCGGCCTGGGCCAGCCCCATCCACCCCCCTCTCCCCCAGATGCCCCCGAGGGGCAGCCTTCCTGCACAGTGCTCCCCGCCACTGGGGCTGTGACTTTGGTCTGTGCCTGGCCTGGGGGGCTTCCAGCTGCCCAGCTGCAGTGGGAGGGGCCCCAGGGGACTGGCCCAACCGCTCCCGGCAACGTCACCTGGAGGCACGCAGCGGCCCAGCTGCCCAACGGCAGCGCCTTCGCTTGCACTGGCCAGCACCCCGCCCTGGCGCTGCCCGCCCTCTGCCGGATCACGCTCTGTGAGTGGACACAGCAGGGCTTGGACATTCCGGGCCAGGGAGTGGGTCGGGGTCAGGGGAGAGCAGGGAGGGTCCCTGGGGTCTCAGGGCAGAAGCTCCAGGCCCCGCACTCCGGGGCCTGCCAGGGGACGAGGAGGGGGCAGCGCTCCGCTCAAGCCTGCCTCCCGACATCTGTCCGCCCCGCCCGGGTCTGCGTCTGCATGGTGGCCTGTCCTCCTCAGTTCAGGCTGGGAGCCCGGGCCCCTCCTACCTGTCCCCAAGCTTCCAGGGTCCGCGGGCTCTAGGCCCCGCTGCTCGACTTCCGCCACTCCCTGCGCGCTGGCCTCAGGCTGCGCCCGCACCTTTCTCTCCGCCTTGAAAACTCCTCTCCGTCTACAGGACCAAGTCCAAACCTCATCCTGCTTTCAAAGTCCTCCTCCCTGAAGCCCCGGAGGGCTGTCTTTCCACCTGCCGTCCGCACTCATCACGCTGCGCTGTAACTGTTAGCTCAGCGTTGGCTCCCGCACTCTCTCTGGCACGTGGCCAGCCTTCCATAAGCGATGACTGAGAAAGGCCATGAGCTGACCGAGTAAATGTGGGAATGGGTGAGCGAGGCAGTAAGTGGAGGACGGAGGGACGGGGCGAGCCTGCTGCGTCCCTCTTCCCCCATAGGGCCATGCTGAGCCGTTTGTTCCCTTCTCAGGGGAGCCCCTCCGCAGCCCTGCTTGCTGGACCACGGCCACAATGGGGGACCAGTTCATCATGCTGAGCTGTGAGTGGGCTGGAGGCGAGCCCCCGGCCCTGCTGAGCTGGCTGGACGCACAGCAGCAGCCCCTGGGCGGCAGTGGCTCCTCACGGGCCATCCACCTCCTGCGGGCCCGGGAAGATCTGGCTGGCAGAGAGTTCATCTGCCAGGGCTCTCACCCACTCAGGGTCCCTGGGCCCCGCTGCCGGCTCCAGCTGGGTGAGTGGCGGCTAGTGGCTGTGTTGCGGGGCTGGGGTGGGAGGAGCGGCCCTCTAGAACCAGGATGAGGGGCTCTGGGTGGGGGGGGGGGGGGCAGCTGGAATGCAAAGCGAGTCAAGAGACTGAGTCACCTCACCTCCCAGGGCCTCAAGTGTTTCTGATCCATAAAATCAGGAGGTTTAGTCTAGGTCTGTGTTGTCCAATGAAAATATAATGTAAGCCATGTGTTTAATTTTAAGTTTTCTCGTAGGCACATTTTAAAAAGAGAAAAGAAATAAGCAAAGCATTTTCTTCAACTCAATATATCCAGCATATGATCATTTCAATGTGTAATAGAAAATTAGTAATGAGATATATTACATTGTTTTTTTTTCTTTTCCTATTGCCTTCAAAATGTGGTGTATTCACAAGTCACAGCCCATCTCCAGGTGGACAGGCCACATTTCAAGTGCTTAGTAGTCGCAAGTGGCTGGGCAGCACCCATCTAGCCAATGAGGGGCTCTGACTGTCGGCTTCATTTGCATCACTTTGCATGAGAAGGGCCTGATTATCTTCCTGGCTGGAATTAATGCTTCAGGTGTCTGAGGTCTTCACCTCTCGTACTCCCTGTACTCGTCTTTGGTCAGGTTTCTTCCGGCTGGTCCCTTCTATTGTTGACTCAAGGAAAAGAAGTAAACGTGGAGGGGAAAAAGGCGGGACAACCTAGCAGAGGAGCCCTTGCAGGGAACACTTCTCCAGCCTTGGTGACCAGCCGGGGGCTCTGAGGAACTGCTCAACCCCAAATGTTTGCCTCCCTCATAAGTCTCAGGGCTGGACACTCCCTCAGAGGTTCACTGACACCTGCAAGGGGGTCTTCAGGAGTCAGCCCCTAAACACGGGCCCCTGCTGCGGGCCCGGCCCTGTGCCGGGGCGAGAGGTGGTGGCCACTGGGGGCGAGGGGGCGCTGTGCCAGGTGCTGAGGGGGAGGCAGTTAATGCCAGGTGAACAGTGTGGGCCCCGCCTGCAGGGGCCCAGCAGGGCTTGCGGGGAGGACACTGCTGTGACCACTGTGCCTTGGGGCAGACTGGGACAGGAACAAGGGCAGACTGGCCCAAGACAAGCTTTGCTGCCAACTCCACAGCCTGGAGGTCCTCTCTCCCCTCCCCCCAGGCCTTCCCAATAGACCAGGTGCAGGGGCACCTCCCAGCCTCCTTCTCTTTGTCCCTGCAGAAGCCCCCCAGCTGGCAGTGGCTAAGCCCTGGGTGTCAGTCCTGGAGGGGGAAGAGGCCTGGCTGGGCTGTACCCTCCAGCGGGGCACACCGCTCGCCCGCCTCCTCTGGCTGGGGCCCCAGGGACAGCCGTTGGAACAGGGCACCTCCGGATTCATGTTGCACCTGGAGGACACCCAGCTCCACCTTAGCATCCAAGGCGCCGACCCAGCGCGCCACGGGGGCACCTACCAGTGTGTGGCCAGCAACGCCCTGGGCAGCCGCAGCCGCAGCACCCTGCTGGAGGTCCTGAGTGAGTGGGGGCGGTGTGCGTCTGTGTGGCGGCAGGACGGAGACCCCCCAGCCCACACGGTCTTGTAGGTGGAAGGTGCTGGGATTCCTGCTGCAGGATTTGGACCGGTCAGCCCCCTCGGGCACTGGAACCCTGCTGGGCTGTGTGAGGCGAATCTCACGCACCCTGGAGCACGGGCAGACAGAGCCCCGTCTCCTTATGCTCAGCGTACAGACGAGGAAACTGAGGCCTAGGAATACAAGTCCAGGGTCACACAGACCCAAGCCGTGCAGAATCGATCCAATCTGCACACCTCGGTCTAGGTCCCTCCCAGCTCTCAACGAAGCTGGACAAACATGGGTGCCCAAGCGCCCCTGCACCCATGCCTGGCTGTGGGTGTGCGTGTGGCAGCGCGGTTTCCCCTCCCCCCAGGGTACCCAGCTCCCCCCAACGTCACCATCAGCCGCCTGACCTACGGGCGGCACCGCCGAGAGGTGCAGCTGCAGTGGGCCACCGAGGGCCCCGGGAACCTGACCGGCTTCCTGGTCCAGCGGAGGCCCCGTGCCGCAGGCCCGGGGGCTGCAGCCTGGGAGACAGCAGCCGGCGACATCGGGCCGGAGAGCCGGGCCCGGCGGCTGGGGGGCTTGGACCCAGGGGTGCTGTACGCCTTCCGCGTGCTGGCGCTGAACCACCGCACAGCTGGGCACCCCTCCGAGGTGAAGATACCAGGTGCCGGGGCGAGCGCCATGGAGAGGCTCAGCTTTCCGCAACAAAACCGAGCCCTGGCTCCTCTCCCTCCATCCCCGCCTCTGTCCTCTCCTCCACCTTCTCCCCGGGCAGGCGCCCTCTCCGCTGCCCTCACCCACCCCTCCCCGGGAGGCCCTGGGCCGAGGGTAGCAGCCATAGTTCAGCCTGAATCAGAAGAGGGAGGGGGGACTGCAGGAGGACAGGCCCCCACTCTGTGCCTCAGTCTCACCCCGGGGGCACACGGGTGGGCTCTCAGTTCCCACTGCTCTCTCCATCCTGGGAACGCCCTCACTGTATGGGCCGCTTCCCTGCTGTGCCCGGTTGGGATGTAGCCAAGGACTCAGACCTCAGGAGCAGCAGGTGCACGGAGCACCTCCTCCCTCGGGAGAGACCTGGTCTCCAGAGGCCCTGGGTGCAGCCTTGCTCTTGATCTCCCGCCTCAGGCGGTGGGGTGGGGACTGGGTGAGCAGGGCGCCGCCTGCTCGGCAGCCTGTAAGCCACTGCTGCCCCGTGCGACCAGCGCTCTCCCCTCCTAGCGGACCCCCCGCTCAGCACCTACCCAGCCGTGCTGGGTGCCGCAGGCACAGGGATGGTGGTGGCAACCGTAGCCTCTTTGCTGGTGTTCCAGTATGCCGCCCGGCACCCGGAGACTTGCCCCCGTGAGTGGGAAACTGTGGGGGGTGGCTGTGTGGCCCTAGAAGGTGGCACCTGTCCCGGGGAGAGGCAGGACCCCCTGGGCAGGAAGTCTGGGCCCTCCTGTATGTGACGTGTCCTCATGCTCGACACCCGCTGGGGCTCCCCCAGTGCCTGGTCTCAGCACGGAGCCTGTGGGGAAGGGGATTGCCCCTGCGATTTTGGACGAGTTGCTCAAGTAATGTGCCTTTTCCTTTCCTTTCTGCAGGCCTGGGCCAGCTGCTCATTCCCATGTGAGTGCGGAACCCGGCAGGCTGGGGGCCACGGCTCTCCTCTCACTGGGAAGGAGGGGTGGGAAAGTGTGGATGTCACTAACTTCACTCTCCCCTTCACCCTCAGGGAGCAAAGTCACCGACACAGGGGCTCAGTGGAAGGCCCAGAGGCACAGGCAGGCAAGCACCCTCCTGTCCCAAAGGTCACTCACGTGTAAGGGGAGCAGTCCTGTGTTGCACGCACGGTGCTAGGTCTCTTGCCATCCTCCAAGAACGACCTGGCACACCCCCAAGGCATCTCTCCCCTTTGCTCATGTCTGTCCTTCAGGCACTGAGACGCCCCCCGCCACCCCCGGTTTGGATCCTGCGCAAGAACCCACGGACGCTCCAGTCAGCGTCACCATCACGGTGACCGCCACACCGTGAGGCCCCGAGGACGGTGCCCAGGGGCACAGGTGCGGGGTGGAAAGAGTCCCCCTATCACACCTGGTCTTCAGAGCCAGGTAGCGGAGGCATGACCTCCCCTTCCCCACTTCACGTCCAGACTTCGCCACCAGTGCAAGGCCCAGCCGCATGGCCTCCGAGTGGCTTGGTTAAAGAGGAGCCCTGGCCCAGCCGGGGAAAGACGGAGGCGGAAGGACAAGGAAGACACAGCTGGAGAGCAGGCCAGCGGGGTGTGCGAGCCGCGGTGCCGGAAGCAGCGCCTGGGGGGCAGCTGGCTGCTTCCAGAGCAATTCCTCAATAAACCACTCCTGGCGCCCTCACGCGTACAGGGTCACTTTGGTGGCGGCTCCCACAGGGCAAGGCTAATCCAGGCTCAGGCTGGTCCCAGGTTTTCCCACCGGGAGGAAGCTGGGAGATGGGTGGGCACGCGTTCCCTTCATTCAGCTGTGTCGACAGTCGAGGTCCTCTAGTTCTTTCCTTTCCACGCCTCAGATCGCTTCCCCAGGACACAAGCTTCCACCACTGGACCCGTTTATGGGTGAAGGAGCATCGCCATGTCCGCAGGGGTCCAAGGGCCACAGCCGCTAGACCTCAGGAGTCTGCGGCCCCCAGCCAGGGCAGAGGTACCGCAGACGCGGCTTCCTGCCTCCAGGCCTGGGGAGCTGGCGGAGAGGGGACCCTGGCTGTTCCAAAGTCACACTCCGCCGGCTGCCAGCATGACTCACTGGCTCCGAGTGTGCGCGCGCCTGCACTGTGGGTGAGACACAAACGAATGCTTGTTCCACCGGCCGGGAGGGAAGACGCAGAGCTGGCTCCGCGGGGGAGAAACGGCACAGAGCAGCGTCCCGCCAGGAATGAGGAAAGTGGCGCCTGAGAGGAGGGAACAGTGACGGAGGCTGGAGTTGCTGCCTGGGTTCTCGCAGAGTTAGACTTTATTAGAAAAGGGGTTTCGGGTCCCTCAGTGCTCTCAGGGCTGGGGCTCAGGTTTAGGGAAGCCTTATTAAACATGGAAAGTAAGATATCACAAGACCTCATCCCATGCAAAAGGCCCTGTTGGCCTTCTGGTCAAAGCAGCCCAGACACTTTTATTTATTTATTTTTTAGGGCAAAGAGACAAAGCTGCTCCTTGAGGAGGCTAAATTCCACCCTGGAGCTCGCAGAGATGTTGCTGCAGGTGATGGCAAAAAGCAGCCCACGTGGCCCTGGCCGGGTGGCTCAGTGGGTCAGAGCATCCAGACACCAAAAGGTTGCGGTTCAATTCCTGGCCAGGGGTGTGTACAGGAGGCGGCTGATCAATGTTTCTCTCTTGCATTGACATCTCTCTCTCAAATCAATAAACATATCCTCGGGCAACATATCCTCGGGCGAGGATTAAACAAAACCAGAGACACGTGAGGAGGGACCGCTCCTTCCCATTTTCCTCACCCTCCGATCCCACTCGCCTCCTCCTTCCAAAGAAACACTGAGTCCCCCAAAGGGGGCTCTGCCTGCTCTGACACAGCTCCTGGCTCGGTGTTTCCCTCCCCCACAGAACCTGTCCTAGACCCTGCTGCCTCAGGGCCTGGCTCTCTGCAGTCGGAACGGCAGGGACGGGCCCCCTGGGCTCCTGGAGGGGGGCTTCCAGGGGGCGGCGGGGTGGAGGCTCAGTTTCCGAGGGAGACCCACGCCCATCCCGGCGGCGAGCCACATGCAGCTTTTCTGCCAACAGGGAGTGTCCGAGGGCCCCGTCTTCACAGCCGCTCTCCACGAAAGCGGCATTCTCTTTTACTATAAAACCATATCCCCCAAATAAAACCTGTCAAAGGTACATCGTTTAAAATATGTACAATGCCAAACACACTATTACAACTTTAAGGAAAATAAAACATGCTTTTCAATATGATACAAAAACATGCATCTCATCGTCCCTGCTTTAAAAGAGAGCAATGCAGGCGAAACCCAATCATGGAGTGAACTTCACGGGACAAGAGTTGGGGCACAATCCCCTGAATGGGGACGCACTGGTCCCCAGACTCATATGACAGAAATGAAACCTGGGAAGAAATGTTCTAAAAGACCTCTTCAAAGGGTTTAAAACACTGCAATTTAACCGACACCCTGCATGCCACCGGACGGTCACCCATCGCCAGACTACCGGTGCGTGAAGGAAAAAAAGGAGGTAGTAAAATGGTACAATAGAAATGGGGAAGTTTAATGTGAAAACAAAGAATCACAGAGAACTCGAAGGCGAAAGGGACATGAAGGGGCCTGTCCAACTGCAGTATCACTAAGCCACTAAGTGAAGAGCAGACTCGGGCGGGGTCGGGTGTAGGAGCTTCACAGGGGGAGACGGGACTCTGGGAGGACGAAGAAAGTGCCGGGACGCCCACGCGTACAGGGGCCGCCTCTCTCGTGGCGGAGTCTCGCAGCAGGGGCGGACAGAGCGTGCAGAGCTGGACTGGTTCCCTTCAAAGAGGGAACCACATGCTTTTGGAAAGCAGCATGGAAAAATGGAAGGAGCTCAGATTACGGCTCTACGTCAGCTGGGTTCAAATCCGGGCTGTGCGGCTCACTGTGAGACTTGCGGACTCCGACACCTACTGTGTGGGTTTGTTAGATGGCAGTAACAAGCTCTGAGCCTGCTGCCTGGGACACAGCAGTCAGCGTGCCCATGTTAGCGCCATCTCTCCCAGGGCACCACGGCCCTCGACCCCGCGGTGAAGTGCCATCAGGCAGGGCTAGTTGGGTGCCTGCGCAGGGCACGGAAGTTCAGAACAACTCATGGTCAGGGGGAACTCAGAACTCCTAAACATGAAGGCAATTATATATATAGTTATATTTATATTTATATATCTCAATATATAAAGGCATTTTTTATAAATAAAATACAATAAAAGGGATAACACTTAAAACAGCGTTACTAACAATATAAATAAAGCAGTCCACAATGAGACTGCCCCAAAGGTAGAGTCGTTTTCTCTGCCTGGCGGACAGATCCCACGTTCAAACTCATCTTTACAAGCAGTTTAGGACCTAGGCTCTCGCTGACACCCCTGCTTCCTGAACCAGATGATGGCTGGCCGGCGCTCACGCCCGTTTTCTAAGACTCGCTTCGTGACAGCATTGCAGTCACGCAACTGGCCAACCGGGGCCTGCTCTCATGTTCTGTGTCCTAGGACTTCGTCCTTTGCTAGTCACAGAAGTCAGGGGTGCAGCCACCCCCCACCTCCAAAGCTAACTGCATCTACGCAGCATGAAGAAATCCCGCACACCACAGGCACAGATGCCTGGGATGGAGAACTTGACCCTACAACGTCCCTAATCCCTGCCCACGAAATCACACTCACTGCATTCTACCGGAAGGAGTTCTTGCACAGGGACTCGGCTTCAACGGCACATTTCGCTAACAGTTCTATCTATAAAATATATAAAAGTATGTAAGGGAATACTGATGCACGTATATAGAAAGTTGATTAACATAGCATTCTAGTCTATCTCACTGTAATTTCTGGGAAACTGTAAAACTTTTTCATTTATGCTGAAACTGCTGACTCTGAAGAGAATCATTTTCAGTTCCTTTCCCCAAAGGGACACACGGCCCCAAAAGGAGCAATGATCCATTAAAGCTGGGCTTGAGCTATTCGACACGCAGTGTTTTTGTGTTTTGCGGTTTTTGTGGAAGAAGAAAAGCCTTCCAAAGGCAGCTGCAAATACCCTGTCACTCCGAGGCAGCGTAACTGTGACTGATGGGCTCTGTTAACCAAAGCTTTCGGAGCCTGTTTACAATGACAACCTTCTGCAAAAAAGTCAGGGAATTTCAAACCACACTGTCCTCACCCTCCAAATGAAGACTTTTCTACCGTCACATCCCCACACTGGAAACTGGGCCGGCATGGTTTGGGGGGGTAGGGGGATGCCATCAGCACAGGCCTGTGATAATGACAGAGCTTCTGCCAGGCTGGGGTCCCTGCAAACCCTCCCCTGTCTTCTCCACATGTAAATCCTTCTCTTCAAGGCATCGGTTTAAAGTCTCATTTCGTCCCTACTCTTGGGAAGAGTTAAAAAGGGGCCAAAGGTGACCGTTGTATAAACACGTGCAATTTTAAAGCCGTAGGACTTGACGGCATTCTTCTTCCTCTGGCCTTGGTTCCCTTCCTGGGACCGCACGGACCCGACCCCACCTCTGCGTGCCCACGCACCCATGCCTAGTGGATGCCTGGGGAACGGACGGAACTGCGGCCAACACGGACAGGGAGTCGCCGTGTCCGCTGCACCTCTGTGGAAGGCACGGATAAAATCCCTAAGACCTCTGCTGTGAGAAACAGCAGGCTGTAACTGGGGCTGTTTCAGAACGTCCTCAGAGAGCCGGGTAACACTATCCTGAAAGCTCTCTGTCTGAAAACGTTGAACGGCCTGCGTGGTTCCCCCCAGCTGGGGCGGCCACGGCTGGTCTGTCACTGAGGTTCTCGGAAGACATGGGACGCTCTCGGATGATGGGAAACTACGCAAAACTAGGATGTTTCCTACTGCTGGGGAGGAAGGGAAAGGGAGGACAAACTTTAAGGCATAAATAATATAAAAGGGCACACATTTTAAGATACATTCATATGACATTACTACTACAAAAATAAATAATGACTTTTCTCTGATTTGAATTAACGTCCTTCACGCAGTCCATCCCCGGGCCCGTTCTGTGCAGTGACTGGCTTGCAGTGGGAAGTGACCGGTCCTGTGCGTGCCCTCAGGTGTCCTGCAGCTGCTGAAGGACCCCTGAAGGGCTGTCTAAAGGAATGCCAGGAGGAGACCATGTTGCCTTTTCAGTACAATCCTTTGAAGCAGGTGGCAAAATAAGAGGATTCCAACTTAAAATGCTGGTCTCTGTTTCTGAATGGATGTAGCTGTCTCCTGCAAAACACAGATTTGGGAGCATTATAAAATCATAAAGGCTGATTTTCACAAACAGTTGAAACACATTACTTCAAGCAATAAAGAGAGGGTAATGA